AGCACAGGAACAGGGACAGCTATGGGGGCCAATTTCACCCCATCGTACACTAACCTAGCTATGGTTTATTGGGAACCCTTAATATATGGCAAAAGAACCCTTTCGCAGTCAATATAATCTTCTTCAGAAGATATAGCGACGATATAATCATAATGTGGGATGGCCCAGCTACACTTGTGAGCCAATTTGTTGATTACTGCAACAACCCCTTTGGACTCTCTTTTAAATACATCCAAGACCCAAATACATTAGCTTTTCTAAACCTGGCAGTCAGCTAACAGAGTAGAAAAAATAAATGCAAACAACTATACTAAGCCTACTGTTGAAAACTCCTTTTTACATTATGATAGCTGCTGCTGCCCAAAATGAAAAATAAGATTACCTCTAGTAAACTAAAACCTCTATTACCATTCCCACTCAATCCGTTTTAAACCAAACAACCGGAATGTATCAATGGCAGAAAGCCTTGTGTGTGACCTGCCAGTTTGTACCACACAGCAAATAGGTGCTTTCCACAAAAGGCAAAACCTATAGGTTGGAAATCTTTTACAACTGTTCCTCCAACTTTATAGTCTATTGTTTATCCTGCCCCTGTGGACAACTTTGTGTGGGCCAAACTATTCGGCCACTTAGAAAAAGGTTCAGAGAACACAGGCAGTTAATAGAATAGGATAAAGACAAGTACAGTGTCCCCCGCCACTTCTTAGAATACCATCAAAAATCCACTGCAGGATGCAAATCTGGGTTATTGAACAAGTGTCCAGATTAATTCTTGAAGCGGAGTGTTTTCATAAATTGTGCACAAGAGAGACATTCTGGGCATACACTTTGGATACTCTCTTACCAGGTGGCCTTAAAAAGAATTAAACCGCATCAGATGTTTCCATTCAAATAATATTCTCCATTAATTACGGGTTCCAATATCTTGAAGATAATTTTTAATCTTTTTCGGGGTGGCTTGATAATATTGGGGTCGGCTGATCAACAAGCCGTATGTGCAGAGTTTATTAAGAATGTCCATATAAAAGAACATCTGGGTAGCAGTGACCATAACGTGATTTAATTTATGGTTAGCTGTAAAAAACAAGCACATACAGGAAAAAAAAAAAACACTCAATTTTAAGAGAGCTAATTTTCCAAGGCTGAGAGCTGCTTTTCAAGACTTAGACTGGGAGGGAATATTGGCATCAATGAACACAACACAGAAATTGGAGTTCTTCAAAAAGACTGTATCTGAACACACTGCAAAATATATTCACATGGACAACAAGTTTAAAAGGCTAAAAATCAAACCTATGTGGCTTATGGCCAAAGTTAAAAAATATATAACTGATAAGAGCTTTTATTAAATATAAAAAATGAAGGAACGCTATCAAACATTACAAAGAATATAACAGAATATGCAAAAAAAGGAAATAAAGGCTGCAAAATTGAAAAAGAACAATAGATTGCAAAAGATAGTAGGGCCAATCTAAAAAAATTCTTCAAATATATTAATAGTAAAAAGGTCCGGTCCGAGCATGGAGGCCCTTTACAAAATAATCTAGAGTGGGTGACTGGGGACAAAGAGAAGGCAAATTTATTAAATACCTTATTCAGCTCTGTGTATACAAAAGAGCATGGGGGAGCTCTTGTCCATAATGGGCATGGTATTGACACAGCTCCAGATGATCCACATTGGCTCACAATTGATATGATCCAAAAATATTTAGACTAAACGGTGAATAATGCACCTGGACCAGATGGCATACACCCACAGGTCCTTAAAGAATTGAGCTCTGTCATTTCAAAGCCATTGTTTCTAATTTTTAGGGACTCTTTAATTGCTGGCATAGCACCACTGGATTGGTGTAAGGCCAATGCGGTACCGATATTCAAAAAGGGGTCAAAATCTTTACCAAGTAATAATAGACCTGTTTGTTTAACTTCTATAGTTGGGAAGATACTCGAGAGTTTAGATGAGTTCTTGCAGGAAAAAAATATTTTAAGCAACAGACAGCATGGATTAATGAAAGACAGAAGTTGTCAAACAAATCTGATTTCTATTTATGAGGTGAGCAAAACCTTGGACAGAGGGGTGGCGGTGGACATGGTATACTTGGATTTTGCAAAAGCGTTTGACACAGTTCCCCACACGCTCATGTGTAAGGTAAAGTCTACAGGCATGGAAAAATCCATATGTAAATGGTCAGAAAACTGGCTAAAAGATGGTATTCAGAGAGTAGTGGTTAATGATTCATACTCTGAATGGTCTAGGGTTGTCAGTGGTGTACCCCAAGGTTCAGTGTTGGAGACCCTTACTTTTTAATATGTTTATAAACAATATAGGGTCTGGGATTATAAATATAATTTCAGTCTTTGCAGATGACACTAAGCTGTGCAGTGGAATAACGTCCTTACAGGATGTCTCCAACTTACAAGCCGACCTCAATGCACTGTTTAATTGGGCAACTATGTGGCAAATGAGGTTTAATGTTGATAAATGAAAGGTTATGCACTTGGAGGCTAAGAATATGCATGCATCATACATACTAGGGGGTACAACTGAGGGAATCCATGGTGGAGAAGGATCTGGGAGTTCTGATATATCACAAGCCTAATAATGGCATGCAATGCCAAGCTGCAGTTTCAAAAGCGAGCAAAATCATCTCTTGTATTAAAAGAGGTATAGACTCCAGAGAGAGAGAGATATCATATTACCCCTGTACAAATCATTAGTAAGGGCACCAATTCACAAAAAGAACACTGGGGAACTGGAGAAAGTACAGAGAAGTACAACCAAACTGATAAGAAGCATGGAGGAGCTCAGCTATGATGAAAGATTAGAGGAACTGAATTTATTCTCTCTTGAGAAGAGGAGATTAAGGGGGGATATGATCAACATGTATAAATACATCACTGGTTCATATAGTGAACTCGGTGTAGAGCTATTCACCCTGAGGTCATCACAGAGGACAAGGGGGCACTCTTTACGTCTGGAGGAAAAGAAATTGAATTTCCAAACACGGAAAGGTTTCTTCACAGTGAGGGCTATGAAATTGCGGAATAGTCTCCTCCCTCAAGGGTTGGTTCTGGCCAGCTGAGTGGATTACTTTAAAAAAAGGCCTGGATTCTTTCTTAGATACACAAAATATACCTGGACACTTATAGGTAAAGTCGATCCAGGGAATATCTGATTGCCTCTCGGGGGGATCAGGAGAGAAATTTTTTCCCCTGCAGGAGCAAATTGGATCATGCTTTGCGGGGGGGGGGGGGGGGGGGGTTTGCCTTCCTCTGGATCAACTGTAGGTGTAGGATTATAACTTTTTTTTTTTTTAAATGGTTGAACTGAATGGAATTTTGTCTTTTTTCAGTCAGACTAACTGTATGTATATATGCGCGCGCACACACACACATATACATACATATATGTACACACACACGTATATATGAAGGTATATGTTATAGGTCTGTTTCATACTGCATATATTTACATTATAGTTGCGTTTCATATGCTTCTAACATGAATCTGAAACATCAAGTCTCTTATATTCCCAAATCAAGTTGTTTAAACACGTGCCAGCCTTAGCATCCCTACCTTTCTCTTCGCTACATATGTTTTTTAAAATATGGCCCTACAATATCATGCATGTTTTTAAAATATTTTGATTTTTAGTGATACCCAATTCAGATATAAGCTGTATTTTTTTATTAAAATCTATATTAACTTTATTAATTTTATATAGAAAGTTTTTTTTTTTTTTTTTTTTTTTTTTAACTTAGAGACTAGTTTTATGTGGCATTGACGTCTATTGTCATCTTATATCATGCTAATACTGCCATTACATTATTGTGTTATATTGTGTATATGCTCAGTACAATAGAACTGTTGCTTCTTCTGAGCTCAGTTCATGAGCATCGGTCTCTCCATCGAATTCCCCTGCGTTAGCTTGAGAAAGGAGCGTGCCTGCCAGTACACCCACAGTGCACATACTCAGGAAACGCACCGACACACGTCCAGTAACGTCATCATGCCTTGAGATGCGTTCCAGCCCTTGCTTTTGGATCTCCTCCATTCTTCAGCCAGCTTCCTGGAACAGAATTAAGAAAAGCTGTAGAGAGACAAGGCGTTTGGATGACCTAACACAGAAGACGTTTACACCTTTGAAGGACACAGATGTGCCTTCAGTACTTGGTTTTACAAAAGCTGCCAATTGTTTGGTTACAATAAATTTCCTTTTAAAACGTCTCAAATTAGAGGCACCTCTCTTTCTTTATTTGCATATCTTGGAATCAGCTTGAAGTCCTTTGTAGAGGCAACCACAATTGGATGGACGATCCCATTTTTAAATGGGCAATATTATCCAACTCTGCTCTTGCATAATCACCATTACTAGATTGTTTTGCTATATATTTTAATATTTTAGCCCAATGCCTATCATTTTCTGATAAGGTTCTATTAAGAGTTACGGTTTTATTCTAAAGGATAGTGTGTTGTATGAGATTGCTGTGTGTGCGCCTAAGATACTATGAGTTCAATTTAATTTACCACAGGTGGGAGGCACCTGAGCTAAATTTTGAGTATTGCTGCATAGGGTCTGAATACTTATGCAAATGTGACATTTCAGATTTTTCCTTTTTCATGAATTCAGACATTTTTAAAACTCTGTTTTCACTTTGTCATTATGGGGTACGGAGTGCAGATTAATGAGAAAAAGTAATTTGAACAACTTTAGTATCAGGTTGCAACATAACAAAATTGAAAAAGTGAAGGGGGTCTGAATACTTACGAACACACGGTTTGTCACAAACATAACTCCATTACTATGTGACGAACAAACATAGGGCAGTAAGAAGTAATAAGTATGCTACTAAATTCAGGATGTGCAGCAGCACACACATAAGAAATTTTAGCAGAATATGCTGATGTAGGATGTTCAGTGCTATATAAACAGGTGAAGGGTACAAACATTAACACCTAGGAAGTGGCTAGAAATACAGGGATAAGTAAACATGCAGACCTGCTCCTCTGCACGTGAAAGCTTCAGCTGCAAATCCGCCACCTGCTGTTCCTTGTCCATCAGTTTCTCAGCAGACAGCTGTCTCTGCTCTTTGAGCCTTCCATGAGCTTCCCCAAGCTGGCGCTCTGTCTCTAATAACTTGCTGTGGAGCTAAAAACATTGGATCAAGTGATCTGCTTGTACTTTCCATTGATTAATCACAAACAACACTGGATTGGCATTTTGTAATGGTTTACATGACTCAAATGCAATACAGATGGCTGCTGAACCCACATACAACAAGACTACAAATTTGATAGCTACTGTAGGTCAGAGCTCCTTTGAAATCCATATCTTTCATTAGAATCTTGTTTTTTTTTTAGTTACCAATATTTCCATAATTAAAAAGGGACAAGCTGGTAATCTCCTTCTACACACAATGACCAACATTACTGACACATTTCACCCTTTCCATACGGGAAAGGAAACTGTTGATTGTTTTCAGAGATATACTGTATATAAAGTTGATAATGAGCACTTTATTTTACTGACAAGTGCTCAGTACAGTTTGGAAGTTAGCTCAAGTCCTACCTGCATAGTGCAATTGCTTCTTGAACCTATTGCTCTTCAGAACCTTTGTAAGAATTTTGACATACCTGTGAATTCCATGTCTTGGGAGTACAGTACAGGAGACAGGCAAAGTATTCAAAGACCCAAACATTTGCGGATGCACCCTTGCACCTATGCTGCTCTGTGAGTTCTGAGTTTTGTAAAAAGAAATGCAGAGTTACCAAGGAATGGAAGGAACGTGCCCTTTGTCCTTAACTGTATTCCAAGATATGAAATTTACAGTTAAGTCAATATTCCTCTTATCTTAAATCTTAAAATTACATCACACAGGAAAAGCATTCATAGACCCTGGGACGTCCCCAAGCAATGAATGAGAAAGGTGAGCAACAACAGGGAAAACAGAAACTGAGCCAACAGGACCTACAACAACAAGGGTCAAAAGACCCAACTTCGGAGAGCCGCTGCATAAACCTTGTGGACAAAAGATACATCCTCCAGAAGACTGGACATGAACCTAATAGAATTTTGAAAAGGTATGGACAGAGGACAGGGTGGCAGCCTTACAGAGCTGGGCTACAGAGGCCTCCAGCCAAAATAACATTCCCACTAATCTAGTGGACTTGGTGTAAACGCACAAAGGAGATATGTTCTTGAGGGTGTAAGCTTTATCGATCACATTTCTTATCCATCTCGCAATGGTGGACTTAGAAGCAAGGTGTCCTTTGTGATGTTTTAAGGAGAGGAATAGGGAATCTCTCTGTCTGATAGAAGCTGTAGCTTTGAGGTAGACTATCTCTGGTCTTTGACATAAGAGTGACTGCTTACAGGAGAGAGCTGCCAACTCAGATACAAGTGACAAACATGATCGCAATCAAAAGAGATACTTTGCAGGAAAGGTCATCTAAGGGAAATGGGGTTTCTCCAGGCCAGAGAGAACCAAGTTGAAATCCCAAGGAAGCATACGGTGGGAGCTTAATGCGGGATACACCCTGAAGAAAAAAGTCTTTACAAGGGACAGTGAAGCCAGAAGTCTTTGAAATATCATTGACCTGTCCTTTTAGAGTGCTTAAAACCAATTCCTAGTCAAGACTTGATTGAAGCCCAGGATGCAAGGCACTGAGTAAAACTCTGAAATTGCAAAGAAGGATCTCCAGGTACAATAGTAGATCTTCCTGGAAGTGGCTTTTCTTGCATTTAGCAAGGTAGATATAACAGACTCAGCGACCCTTCTATCTCTTAAAACCTGGGCTTCGACAGACATGACATTAATGGCAGAGACTGTGAAGCAAGATGCAATAGAGTGCCTTGAGATAGCAGATCTTGAATGCTTGGAAGAGGCCAGGCAGCTTTCGAAAGTCTAAGTATGTCTGTGTACCAAATTCTTCTGGGCCAGTTCATTGCAATGAGGATCACTGTTTTCCTCTTTTGCTCTATCTTTTTTGAGCAGACGAGGCAGAACTCACCACTGAAGGGAAGGCAAAAATTAAGTCTGAATGGAGACCAGAGAAATATCAAGGCTTCTGAGGCTAGGGCTAGAGAATTGGTTCTGGTTACAGGAGGCTAGGATAGCAACATCTGGAGTTCACCATTTCTGAGGACTCAGAGTGGTGTAAGGCTATAGTAGAGGTGCCCAGGGTGTGTGAACTCAAAAGCTTGCCAGTGTCCAATCACCTCAAGGTGCAAGCCTATAACCTAAGGTCTATGAATACTTTGCCTTTGTCTGTACTGTACGTTTAAGATAATAGTATTTTTGTACTCACTGTAAAATCTGAGTACTGCGCTCTGTAAATCTTGGAGTACTGAGGGACATAGTAAATCTATAATCTTCGGATTTAAGACTTCATGTCACCTACTGGACAACTGAACACTTGCAAACAAAAAAAAATAACTGTAGGCTGAACCAGTGTATAACCTCTCGTAACATTAGCATGCCTCAATTTTGTAGCAAAGTAGTACCAAAATTATGATCACAAATACACAGGAGTGGGACCTCTATCCCTTAATGGACTTAAAGAAAAGGATTTTTTTCCCAGTGAGTAAAGGAAATCCTATTTTCTTTGTCATCCATTGAGGGGCACAGGAAGTCTTGAATGTTTGCATAACACAAAAAGGAAGTCCTTCCTAAGAGTGGTAACGACAAACAACTGGTAACAGGATCAACATAAACAAAAAAGAGCTGAGAACTTCCTAAAGTTCAAAGAGCTGCCAAACTGACTCTACATTCAAAAGGTAGCAGATGAGGCCAGGGTGGAAAACAACTGAATAGAAGACCAGGTGGCAACCCTGAAAATCTAAGAAACAGATTCTTACCACGGCACTACCTGCTTGCTGTTGGCATATTCTCTGTGCCTGCATGGGTTTTCTTTTTTGGGTACTCCAGTTTGCTCCCACATTCCAAAGACATGCTGGTAGGCCCATTGGCTCCTGTCAAAATTTGCCCTAGTATGTGTATGTATGAATGTGAGTTAGGGACCTTAGATTGTAAGCTCCTTGAGAGCAGGGACTGATGTGAATGTACTGTATATATGTAAACTGCTGAGTAAATTGACAGCGCTATTTAAGTACCTGTAATAAACAAATACAAAATAAACAGAGGCATGGTGCCAAAAAACCCAAGAAGCGCTCAATGCCCTAGCTGAGTGAGCCTTACCTGATCCTTAATACTATATATACCAGGGTATATATACCAGGGTATTTACCCTATTGTCTATAATTATTGTGTAATAAAGCATAATTTTTTGGGAATTACTCTGAGTATCGCATTCTGTCCATAATGTAACCACTTTTTTGTGAATCTCTTTTTCACAACCGCTCTCTTTTAATACTATAAGCCTGAATGATGGTCTGTATGATCCACCTAGAGATGATGGAATGACCACCAGTTAGACTTTTCAGTCTTTCTGAAAGACGTGGGGGCTGAAAGACTCACACAGCCCAAATCACATCCAAACGATAAAGGGAAATCTCCTTATGATAAATGGAGCCGGATAGAATGACATTGTTTAAGTGAAAAGCAAAGAAAAGAAGCCCTAGTTTGCAAAGGCTGCCAGCTCAGAAAATCGCACAGCCAAAGTAATGGCAACAAGAAATACAACTTAACCAGGAAGTAACAAGTCAATGGTTCTGAAAAAAGGATAGACAGGGCGGAGATACTGCCCTGCCCTGGAAGCAAAGATCCATGGAGAATCCCCTGGGGTTTAAGCCCTTAGATTTACAGTAAGCATAGTATACCTTCCACAATCAATGACAGACCTTACGAGAAGTAGGCTTTCCAGTCTTGATAACAGTAGGAAACACAGACTCAAAGATGCCTGTCCCTTAGTAGGAGAGCTTCAACAGCCATGCCTTTAAAGCCAGAGACAAAGAAGTAAGAACAATCAGTTTGGAAAATCAGTCCCTTGGGACAGCAGATCCAGACAGTGGAAGAGCCCATAGTGTGTCTGGGAGATGTACTACCAGGTTGGCGTGCTACATCTGCCTGGGCCAATACACAGCAATGAAGATCCATACTGGTTCTGTGGAGCACTTAAGTAAGAAGCTTCAGAAAAGGAAAGGTTAAGATCAGGGTGTACTAATCCCATGGAGCCAGTACAGCATTCAATCCCTGGGCCGAGATACAAACCAGTCCAGTTTGCTCTTGAACCTGGAAGCCAGGAAGTCCACATTTGGCATCCTTTACCTGTGATACAGATCCTGGAACATCTCTGAATGCAGAGATGTCTTTTCTGGGCCCAGGCGCTGTCAGCTGAAAAAAATCTGCCTGCCGAGTGCCCCCAACAGGAATGTAAATGGCTGAGAAGGCGAGAAGTTCCACCCAAGACAGGATTTCTTCTGCCAATCTAGCCATAGTGAGACTTCTGGTTTCTAGCTGATGGTTGAAGTATGCCACTACTGTGGTGAAGACCAACTGGATCAGAAGCAAATGGCCTTCCAACAGGTTGGTCTCTTGCTGAATGGATAGCCAGAATGCCAGAAGCCCTAGGATGTTAATTGAGAGATGAGATTCCACTGACAATCAAGTCTCTTGCACGGATAGGTTTCCCAGGACTTCCTGCCTAGCCTGACAGGCTGTTTGTAATCAAGTTTCTCCAGAACATGAGAAGGAAAAACAAAACAAAAAAAAAACAAAAAAAAAAAAAAAAACCTTCCTGACTCAAAATAGTTGGATCCCAAAAATGGTGTACTGAACAAAAATGGATGCTTCTTGGCATGGACAGATTGAGAAGACTTAGCAGTCTTCTCCATAGGCTTCTTCCAATGGGAAAGATGAGTTCTTTAACCACCAGTAGTATCCTTAATGACAGCGTTCAGAGCCATGCCACAGGGACATGCCCTTTGAACTCCATGTGGATCAAACAGTTCTTGCAAGAAATTTCTGCAGTACAACATTTTAGGAAAAAACAGTCCTAGGCATACAGTATGTACTGACAAAAGGATAATGAGGGAAACAAGCCCAAAAGGTATCTGCCAGGCTATCTTAACTAAAGTTTAAAGCAATAGACATTTGTTCAGTGAGATTAATGATCCGAGGATCAGTTGCAGCAGTTTTAACAACCCCCCACTTTCCCTTCTCCACATCTAGAATCAGACATTTTGCAGCCAACGTGCACGAGAAAGAAAAAACACTCCCAGCACATAGTTAACCCTTTGATTGCCACTCACATTAACCTCTTCCTGCCCAGTGCCATTAGTACAGTGTCACTGTATTGGTGTCACTGGGGATGTCAGTGGCATTAAGTTAGTTACCCCTCTGTGTCAGAATGTCTACCGCAGTCCCGCTAAAAATCGCTGATCACCACCATTACTAGTAGGAAAAAAAAAAATAATCCCAATATCTATACCGCCATTTGTAAACGCTATAACTTACACATAAACAAATTAATTTACACGTACTGGGATTTTTTTTTAAGCAGACATGTAGCAGAAAACATTTTGGCCTAAATTTATGATGAAATTTGATTTTTAAAATTTTTTTTTACTGGACATGTTTAATAGCAGAAAGTCCAAAAAAATTTTTTCTCTCAAAATTGTCGGTCTTTTCTTTTTTGCTTATAGCGCAAAAAATAAAAAAAGGCACAGGTGATCACATACCACCGAAAGAATGCTCAATTTGTGGGAAAAAAAAGGACATAAATTTAATTTGGGTGCAGCGTTTCATGACCGCGCAATTGTTAAAGTAACGCAGTACTGTAACGCAAAAAATGGCCTGGTCAGGAAGGGGAGTAAATCCACTGGAAGGCAAGTGGTTAACCCTTTGAGGACCAAGGGACGTATCTGTCCCATGTTTTTAATTGCCTGTATCATCTGATTAAGAACTTAAAATACTTTTTCTTTTTTAGTTTGAGTCAAAATATTAGTTCTTATCAACAAATGGATCTAGCTTTTTGCCAATTATTTCATTAAATGGCTTAGTTACAGCAACTGAAGTGTACGAACTTTAAAAACACAAAATTGATTCTTTTGGCGTTCCGTAATCTTATGGTCCTCAAAGGGTTAATGGATACTTTTTTTTTTTTTTTTTTTTTTTTTTTTTACACAGAATGTAAGCAAGAAAATCCAGTGGACTTGCTAGGGGAAGACTATGAGCACAAAATCACCATCAGTATATAGATGATGGAATCTGGTTATGTGAAATTAAAGAAGTCTACAGATAAACAACCAAATTCACAATGCAGTTAAAGGACAAGAACACCCAAAATTGATATACAAGCAACAGCATTTTGGGAAAAGAGGGGCACAGTGATCTCCTCAATGAGGTATCCAATGGGCCATTCAACAGAATTCAGTTCAGTCAACAATATCAGCATTGGGTGAACTATTCTAACCCAGGGATGGTACATCAGGCTGACAGAAATCAGCAATAACAGTTTTACTGAGTATCTAAAAAGTAATGAACTAATGATTGGCTCTTACAGGAATACATAAGGATGTGAAGATGTGTCACCTGGTTAATCTCACTTTGCAGCTGTAGGCTGTGCTGCTCCTTCTCTTCTCGCTGCTGTTGAAGCTGTTTGAAGTCAGCCTTGAGGTGCTGGTGTTTGGACTCCACCTCAGACAACTCCTCTTTAAGTTTCTGGTTGGTTTCACCCTTCTCAGCCAGTTCCGTTCTCAGAGTCTGTAAGGAGGCATCGCTGGCTGACAGTCGCACATGCAGTTGCTGACATTCCACATCCCTCTGGTTGAGGCTGACTTGCAGGTTCTTCTTGGCTGTAACCTCTTCATGTTGTTTCTCTTCCAACTCTGTATACTGCAGCTCTTTCTTTAAGAGTTTTTCCATTAAACCCTACAAAATGCAGATATTACAATGTATATCTTGCTATATTTGGACAGTGACAAATATGGTAAATTAGGCATCTCTTCATGCCAAAGTGAAGAAAAGCTATGCAAATTGTAGCAGTTAAAGTGGTCAAAAGTGTGTTAAACTAAAACCAACTTTGTTGATAATATTTATAAATAAGCCACTCAATTTATTGTATTATAGCTATACCTCTTCAGAAGGATAGGTGCAACTCTGTAAAAAAACTATTTTAAAAATGCAGTGTTCTTTACCCAGTCTCTGCATCAAAATAACTATACAAAAGCATACCCCTGATGTTGGTAAAAGGTTTCTAGTAGAGCGAATGCTCAGTGCAGGCTCATTCATTCTTTTTAGAAAATAATGCCTGTCCACCAAAGGGAAGACAGGAACTGCAATTATTTTTGATTGCCATTCCTTGCACATGTAGGAAGCTGTGAGAAATTGAGCACCTAATAAAGAAAGGTTATATTATGAAATTATATTCGTATTAAAAGAATATAGGAGTTCCTATGCTTGGCTGTCACTTTGATCCTATGGTTTTTAGGGCTCGTTCACATGTGTTGATTATGAAGAACAAAGTAATGCTCATTACGTCCCTTGAGCATTTATGAAGTGTTCATGACATGTATACATTGTATTGATGAAGCACTGAAAAACCTTCAAGAATGCTTGATAAATGTCCATGAAAGTGTTGCTTTTCTAGTGGGAAGTGCTTAAAGGGGAAGTAATGTAGAGGAAATTTTCTACTTTGAGGCGTGGTAAGGTTGCAGTGTAATAGCAGACATTTTTGTGTTTAGGATACAGGCAAAAGGTGTTATACTTACCACCTTATTCCTCACTCCAGCAGTGTCCTCCAGCTGTGTGACTGGTCCAGCGCTTTAATGCAGCAGTGAGAGCTTTGTGATTGGAGGAGAGCCAGTCAGGAGGCTTTGACAGATCAAATGACTGCGCTTTGCACATTACACCTTATTTTTTTCCTTTTAAACATAGTGTCTTTTTATTTATGTTATCCCCTACTGGCTTTGGAGCAGAAAGGAAAGCATATTTTTAAAGCACGATTGTGGGAATTTTTTTTTTTTTTATGCCCAGCCTTATAGGATACCAGCATAATTAGTAATACTTACCACCTTATTCCTCGCTCCAGCAGGGTCCCTCCAGCTGTGCAACTGGTCCTGCACTGCCATCTCTCTAAGGTGTTCTCAACCACAGAAAATACAAGGTTAAAGGATAAGGTCACCTGTCTAAAAAAAAAAAAAACTAAAAATGCATTTTTTTTGCAGGTAAAAAAATGTGCATTACTATTTTTTTTTTTGTAGGAGCCTGGAAAGCATTGCACCCATGATCAGCAGATTGTTGATGCAATCCTGTAGACTGTCATTGTCATTGCATGGGCAGGCAATGGCTGTCGGTACTTGTAGTTTATTTATATCACAGATCCCTGTGAATGAATGATGCGCCCATGTGGGTGGAGCCCTATACGGCGGTGTGTGCTTTTCAAATTGTGGCAGCAGGTGTGGGGAGAAGATCCCCAGCTCGCTGTCACAATGAGGGGGGATCGGCACGAGGCTGCAGGAGTAGGAACATGTTACATGTTTCCCCTTATAAGTGGGTGGAAACATATAACATGTTCCCAAAGGTGTACTTATCCTTTAATAGGGTAAGTAATACAGATTATATTCCTGCACCCCCTAGAAGAAACACGCATTTAAGTCTTGCAGTGCAGTGAGTCCTACTGTAAGGGTAGATATTGTGGTAATCCTAGAGTTGGGCATTAAAAAAGTATGGCAGCTTTTTAAATGGACCCGTTAATGTTCCAAAGTGACAATAAATGAGAATTGTGTTAAGTTGGCAGAGCAATGACTGAACCACTGGGAACAACGGTTGTTTAAAATATGGACCTCTGGCAGTCAAACCACCAATTTCAGGAGTGTTGATCTCCCGCGTTCCCGCCACTGAGCTGCAGTCCTCTTGCCAACCACTATGTCACTACAGGACACAGTGAAGTGTCAGTTTTAGAGACATCAGCAAAGGCTCTCTCTTTAATGTAGTGGGGTTTGGAAGGGAAAGTAGTAAGTATTTACTATCTTCTTTATAGGAGCAGCACTTACTGGCAAATTTATTTAAGCAGCAAAGTCACTTTAACGTAAGCTCATCAAAGTGTACAGTATATATACCAAAAGGGTATATTTGTTTATTTTGCAAGGTGCATCTATGCTTTAAAAACTCTCATCAGAATGTCACCTACCTCATTTTTCTGTGATAATTCAGAAATAGAGCTTTTAAGCTGCTGTAGTTCCTGGACATAAACAGCAACCTCTTGTGGTCCCTTTGCAAGCTCTGCTTTCAGCTGGTTAATAGTGGCCTAAAAAAAAAAAAAAAAAAAAAAACCCACACACGAGAGAAAGGAACAAAGCGTGAGTACATTGAGAGGTTCAGACAAGAGGTTACAACATATGCACATATGGGAGAATACAGCAATTACAAGGAGCAGATGAAAATGAAGATAATTGCTCATACATATGAAGTAATCCAAAGATGCTTGTAACCTGAACAGTACAAGCTACCCTAATCAACAAATATATATTGTGTGTGATTTAACCAAGCACAGTTAAATACACTTCATGCTGATCATGCAACCAGCTGGTGCAGTTTAAAGGTTCTTTCCACTTGTAACAAGAAAGTAAAAAATCCTTAACTTGCAGGTCAATGAAGGTTGGCAGGGGCCTGATTACGCAGAGGCTTTGCCAGTACTCTGTTAGCAAAATATAAAAATGCAGCTCTAATCAGAGGATGAGGGCCTTTTACTGTGTAAAACTGCTGCAGCTGAGAAATCAAAACCTCTTGTTGAAAGTAGAAACACCTTTTAAAATGAAAGGCTGACCTTGCTGTCTAATCAGTCCTAAAAATAAAACAATAGAAGTAAAGTGAATTTTATTTAAAGCAATCCAAACCTACAGTTTTCATTATGATGTTTTAGACTCATACAGAAAAACTGTATTAAAAAAAAAAAAAAAACTGAATTAAAAAAAGTGGATAAAATGCATTCAGAATTTGAATCATATGCCAAGAAAGGTGCATACAAGAATGGTCTCCCAGAGCCACTCAAACGTGCACCTTACGACAGCCATGTTCACTGTACTCCTCCAAAACGATCTAACATTGTAAAACATCTACAAAACATGAACAAATACTGATTGTTTGAGTCTGCCCTTTAATCTGTTTTCATTCAGAAAATATTGATTGCCTATCCTGACCTATGTTAAGGTTATCAAACAATACACTTTAATGATGGATCTCCAACAAAATTTAAAGACAAAAGTCTGTTGCCAAACAAAAGATATTGACTGATACTGTACATGGCTGTAATGTGATATCTTGATTTTCTGATTTTGGTACTTTTAAAAGAATTGAGTGTAGTATTCCAGCAGGGTAACGTATTCAAATATTACTGGCGTACCAGCGACAGACCTCATTTATCAAAATGTCTTAGGCAGCAACTAAGTGATCATTGGGTACATAATGTGGGAATTTAATAAAACTGGCGCAGACAAAATATGGAACAGATGTGCCAAGTAACCAATCAGCTTCGATCTTCAGCGTGAAAATAAAAAATAGAAACTTAATGGTTGTCATGCACAGCTGTTTCAGATTTTGGCTACTCCAAGCATAGTAAATTTTTCTTAATGTCTTCCTCAGACACTTTGAAAGAAGCCCAAAAATACCTTAAATAGTTCTTCCAGTTCAAAATTCTACCCTTTAAAACTTCCTCAGTGTTCACCACAATCATGAGGTATGGCAAAATAATAGGATTTTTGTACTCACTGCAAATCTGTCAGTGGGACATGAAAGTCTAAAGGGTCAGTTCACACTATGATGTTGCGGTAACGTGCATTTCTTTATTGCATAGCAATGCACGTTAAATACTTTGGTGCAATGTGGTGCCATCCAAGAAAAAAAGAAAAGACAGAAAACCAGGAACTGCCTGCAACTCAAAGTCATTTGAAGGAGCTTATGCCTGAAGCTTGCATCAGATAAGGCTGCAACATCCACCTGGTAAACTTTGAAAATGTGTAAACAGAAAACGAGTTGGCAGCCCTGAAAATCTGAGAAACTGTAGCCAGATGAAGAAAACCCAAGAAACACTCACACATCTAATAAAGTGCATTGTAACATGAAATGGTGGTACCATGAGCTTAAACAACAATCCTTCAAAGCACCTAGAGATCTTGGAATGAGAAGATAGAGCGCCTTTATTTGGTCCATCTGAGTTCACAAAAGGGGGATCAGTTTTCCAGAATGAAGCAGTGGCTGGGAGATTGGCTTCAAACTTTCCTTAGGCAAGAAGGAAGTCCTGGCTTCACAAATACTAGAATACTACCCTGTGCAAGATCTTGAGAGTAGAAGGTGAGCCAAACTCGGGTGGCCTCTACATGGAGGCTCAGATAGCAGAGAAACAAAAGGGTTCTTTCTTAATAAAGAGGGGGAAGACCTAGCAGTATGTTCCATAGGTTCCTTGCTTTAAGCAAGATGGGTGCTCTTGCCACCAGTACCATCCTAGAGAAGATGTTGTCAAGAGCTAGTCTAAGGAGACACTGTCCCTTAAAGGCCATGCAGATCAAAATGCTTTTACCACAAGGGTTCTGCAGTCCAGGACTTTAGAAAAAATGCCCTACATATTTGAACAGATATGAGACGCATGCAAGTAGTTAGAAGGGAAGCATTTTGTAAGCGAGGGATCAACCTCAGTAGCGATTAGAATCATTTAGCCAGAATTTATAATTGGCAGGGCCTGCCAATGTTAACAGAAAAAAGGATTCTCTCGACTTATCGGATGGGTCCTTAAGAACAAGCATGTCCAGTATAAGAACATTCAGCAGTGTGTTAAGGCAGGACATTGCCAGATCCATATAGTAGAACAGACCAGTTCTGTACAAAATCCATATGAAAAGGGATACAAAACTCATAGCCATTTAGTAGGGAGCCAAAAACAAGGACTTTGCAGCTTTAGGAAATTGGAATGGCTCAAGGCTAAAAACACCACTGCAACAGACTGATCCGCTGCATCAATAAAAGCCAAAATGGTCTCTCCTAATTTGAGATTAATAGCAGTAGACTGCAACTCCTCAAAGGCAAGCTCATTGGACAAGGATTGGAGAGACTAAGGCAGGGTTCACATTTGTGCGCTACAGTTTTTCTACGTCACATTTCTATGTGTCTTTTACACTCATTTTTAGAGGAGTTGCCATTAAACTTTATTAAATCGGGCATTTTCATAACAGTGCATCAAAGTACAGCATACTTCATCTTTGAAGGGCTTTCTCTAATTGAGTTTAATGACAGTGCACCTAAAAACACCTGTAAAACAAACCTAAAAGTGCAACACAGAAAAACTACAGCGCACATATGTGAACCCGGCCTAAGAATCAGGGTCTCTACAGCTGATGGCTCAGAAGGTCATGAGGAAAAATCAGCTACATAATTTGCAAGAAAGGGTGCATAAAATCTTACATGACCACAGTAAAAACCTCAGCCGAGATGGCCCAGCCACAACCTACAGAGCCAAAGAGGAGTCAGAGGATGGAACAGACTCTAAAATCAGTACCAGAACCATTAGTACAGTGTTAACTTGGGGAACCTGGTACAACAGTACTGTCTTTCCCTGATGTCAGGGTTCAATCCCACAGTGTTAAGTACTTCTGTAATAAAACCAGCAGGAACTGTGTATAAAGGCAGCCAGTAACCTAAGCATTTGTGGTAGCTTCCAGCCAGCCAACTCAGTAAATAAGCCTTTAGAGACAGGGCAAGTGCTCCCTCCACAGCTAACTTTTACAGGAACAGTAACGCATAAGCCTGTGCCCGAAGGTCAATGTCAAGCCATCCTAGCACATCCAGCACAGCTGAGTTCAATGCAGTGAAAAGCCTCAATTGAAGAATAAAAACGGAGAAGTAGCAATAGAAAAAAAAAAATAATTACACAACACAGCAGAGCTGTAGAAAAGATGTCCATCTTCCTAAGACAATAGCACTACTAAGACAGGAGGAGTTATCCTGGGACTGGCATACAATTTTTGGTTGCCAGTATCCAGTCCTTCTCTAGGTGGCAGTAAAACCCAAAGTTTTAAGACTTCCTGTGTCCCCAAATAGGTGAGCAAGGAATCACATTTGTAGGATGATGAAAATTGTTCAAAAGTGTATGAATCTCATTCTGACAATGTTATGGCCATTTGATAAAATGTGGTAATTGAACACATATGTGAAGAATTGATTCAAGCAATCCCTTTCAGCCTATTGGGCCATAGGCAATATAGCAAGTAGAGAGACAACATAACTGTGCCCTGCTTACTTCAGGTCTGCTCTTTAATTGAATTCTAAGCATAGCTACATTGATAATGCCCACCCTCAGTTCTTTCCTTCATACAAGTCCATTTACAAGCTTCCCACAACCACTCATCCTAGATCAGGCACCTTACTCAAGCATGCTTTCAGCTCAACTCAATGTACAAATAGGTATCTGGGAACTATACTTGCTGAACCTTAAGACAATTTCATGTCCTACAAAAGAAATACATAGATTAACTAAAACACTCTAATAGCCTGGAGGTGTCACTGAAATTTCTGAATATAATGTTATTAATATAAAGAGTATACATTTTGAATGCAAACGTCTATTCAAATAGGGATATCTTTTGGACTGGAAAGTAAAGTTTTATTCATATTATAGACAGTGGTATAAATGTTACCTTGAATGGACTTATCTCCATTAGAAAGCAGACAGAGAGAAAGAATGACATATATGATGGATGAATGATGAAAGACAAATGACTAGCAGGCATCAATTAGGCAAGTGTACTCAAAATCATGAATGATGAATAAAACTTCTACTGACCATTTGTTTTGATGAATGGCAAAAAAAGAAACAAAAAAACGGAGACCTTGCAACACATAACTAAAGCCCAACTGTACATTCATCAAAAACCTAAAGTGAAACTTCACTTTCTCAATCAACATTGACTATTTCTAATCCTTATGCTGCTAGCATTAATACATAGATAGGCAAGTATATATATCATAGGTACTTGTTTTAAACTTTATTTTTACATTTCTTCAGTTACTTCCTGGTTTCCATGCCTAGGCAAATTATGTCATACATCCCAGAAGCCTTCAAGAGGGGAGGAGGAGTTTTCTTAGCTAAGCACACCCTCCTGCCTGCATGCCAGAGCTAAGGGCAGAGAGATTCCAAGAACTAAATGCTACATGAATTATCTGCCCTTACTCAAGATGGTCACGGCCAGAAATTCTAAGGGGTGTTTTTAATGTGGTTTCATAGTAAAATAAAAAAATGGAGACATGGATAGATGGGGG